CCTTCTTTTGATTGCCACATAATATATGTATGTACATAAATGGATATGCTGATAAAATTGAAACAGTTATGCTACATATATACAAGTTGCTACATAACTTAATAGTATTATGTGTTTGTATTTGAGCATGCACTTCTGTGTGTGTGTGGCTATTGCTTAAGTTTAGTCGTGCCCATGGCAAGTTTTTATCATTGGGAGACTGGGTGGCGTCTGTTGCACTAGTTTTTTTTCCTATGTCAATGTAGGTCAAAACTGGTTTTCCAATCTTTTATAAATGCTTTAGGAAGTAAACTGAATTAAAATAAAAATACATAAGAAATGAAATTAAAAAATTTAAGAAATTATAATTAAATAAATTAATTAAAAATATGAAATTAAATTAAATTGAGTATCAAATAATGTAATATTAAATAAAAAAATTAAATAAAATGAAATCAAATCAAATAAAATGGTTTAAAGTAAGACAAAAGAAATAAATTAAATAAAATACATAAAATAATGTGATATAAAAGAAAAAATAAAAAAAAAATAAAATAAAAGAAAATAAAATAAAGTTGAATAAAATAAAGTAAAATAAAATAAAGTAAAATAAAATAAANTAATTAAAATAAAATAAAATCAAATAAAATAAAAAAATTACACTAAAAAGATTAAAGAATATAATAAACCTTAATACAATAAAATAAAAAAATACAGAATAAATTAGTTAAACTTAATAAAAAAAAAATAAAATAAAACATCAATTAAATAAATGAAACAAAAAACAAATTAAATTAGATATATAAAATAATGTGATATAGAATAAAAAAATAAATAAAATAAAATAAAATAAAAAAGAAAAAATTAGTTTAAAATGAAATATTTAAAATGAAATAAAATTAAATTAAGTTGAAGTAAATATATTAAATTGAAGTTAGGTAAAGTTAAATGCAGGAAAATAAAAAATAAAAATAATGAGAAATTAAGTAAAGTAAAACAAATAAAATTAAATCATAAGAAATTTATAGAAATAAAATTAAATAGAGTAAAATAAAACTAAAATAAATTAAATTTCCAAAAAAATCTGAAATATATATATATATATATATTGGCTATAGTAGCAGAAAAATTAGGTTAGTAATTTAATATTGCATATCTGAAAAGTAAAGAAATATTATTTAACCTAATTTTTTTTAAAGCAAAACAACACAAAGTAAACCAATTTGCTTACGCTTGCCGCCAACTCTTACGTCCTGTGTGCATGATACTGCCAATAGACACGCCCGAACGAAACCAGATCCTTGTTTTGTTGGCTTGTAGAAATTGCTAAAAAAGAGATAATCAGCAAGTGGAAAGTGCGTGCGAGTGAGTTTGGCGATTGTTTGGTTGCCTGCTACTCATCTTCCTTCACGCAATTAGTTTTTATATACACATAACCTTTTTTTTAATGCCAATTAAAAAACCTCAGAGGCAAAAAACAAAAAAAAAATATGACAAAAAACCAAAATAGCCACAACGTGAAAATACAATGTATTTATTTGAGTTTAAATTTGTATTTGTATGTCATGTCATGTGCATGAGATAACTCCGTTGTTGTTGCATGCCATAATGAAAATGACAGTTAGTTGGTTAGTCAATTGTGTAAGGCAACGCCCAAAAAGCAAATAAACAAACTTTGGGTGTGTGTGTGTGTGGGTTGTTACATTCTCCTTTTTCTCTTAATCAAAATGAAAGAGCTCCTTGCCACATTAATATACTCACACGCCCACGAGGTGCCCTACTTTTGTAGCTGTCAATTATTTTTTTTTCTTACTTTTTTTTATATCTCTACAAATATGTTTGTGATTGTATGGATGTATGAGTGCTGCAGCAATGCACCACGTACCATCATCTCGCTGTTGAGTTAAACGCGTCATCGACGACAGGAAAACAGCCATTGCTGTGCCGGAACAGTTGAGCCGTCGCCGCAAAGGAAGCTTTTGTGTGGCGTTTTTCTGCTTTTTTGCTGCTTCCGAGCTTTGTTACCATTTTTTATTTTTTTTTTTTTTTGTTTTATTTTTTTTCGACTTTTTTAATACAAATATATTTGCTAAGTTTATATGTCAGTAGCATGGTAGCATGGCTTTTGCTTAGCTGGCATGCTGTGGCACAAATATGCTGCCTATGTTGCTCTGCTGCGCTGCTATGCGTCCACAACTTTCACACAAACATACCAAATTGTTGTGACGACATAAAGTTGCTTGCAGCAAATATACAAAAATAAAAAAAAATAAAAGCAAAAAACTGTTTGCGCTGATGAGGAAAATTAATTCTCGCAGTAACGTAGAAAAAAGGTACGAAACATAAAGAAACAAAGTGAAAAATAAAATAAAATAAAATAACTACCAAAGCAGCACATACCAATCCTAAACCGGCGGCATTACTTACGCAACTCACACCGAATTAGGTCAGTCAAGGCGAAATCTGCGCTGAAAGTAACTGACAGCCTGAATTTATATGTAACATAAATATGTATGCATATTAAGAGCGCATATTTATGCGTATGTATATATGCTACATTTATGTAAAATCACACATGTGTGACTACATTCTTATGCCACATATGGGCGATGAGCCAGTAAAACTGACTGACAGCAGCAACCGCAAACTAAAGGATCTGCCATAACCAAGGCAACTTTGAGTTAAGCTGTTGCTGTCGCATGTTGCAAGTTAATAAAAGTTAAATTTTTTTTTCAGTTTTATAAAATAAAATAGAAAATGAAAACAATATGTAAAAATATGAAATAAAACAAAATGTTACATAAAAAATCAAAAAAAAAAATAAATAAAATAAAATAAAAAAAAAAATAAAATAAAATAAAATAAAATAAAATAAAATAAAATAAAATA